TGAGGTGGTTCGGGCATCTGACAAGGATGCCTCCTGGGCGCCTCCTGGGTGAGGTGTTCCGGGCATGTCCCACCAGGAGGAGGCCCCGGGGCAGACCCAGGGGGCTGGGTTTCATCTGCTTGGGCTGCTGCCCCGCAACCCGGCCCCGGATAAGCAGAAGAAAATGGATGGATGGATTGATGGATATTTAAAGCAGGAGTTCAGTATGTTTTCTTTATTTTAGGAAACATACAGATTTGAGTAAAACATCAAACAAATGATGCATTGTCTTTTCTGTTAGGGGAAAATGCCTCCACTATAGAACACCAAGATGATCAACAGTCCAGCAAATCCAAAGGTATGCAACAATCTCTTCAAAGTTAACAGAAATGATTTAAATTTATAAATGTGTTTTCTTTGCCAGTATGTTTAATTCACAATACAGAGTCACATGTGCTCAGAATATAATTCTGTAAAAATCATCCCATGTACATATACTAATCAGGAGTGTCATTATAATTTTAAGCTTTGAATAATTTATTTTAGCTTTTCTTGTTCCAGGGTGGAATGATTGTACAGCATACATCTTTAATGACTTTAATAAACAAGAGCTGGGTGCACAGGTTTCTTTAATTTCCAAAGGGGTCAGAATTATATAGTCAGACCCCCGAGAGGGACGAAAGGACCCCCTAATGATTTTGTCCCTCTCGGGGGGGATACTCCCACAGGGCTTAAATCTGGGACTCTCCACCATTTGATCCTAGAACCGAAGAAGCTTATTGGATGAGAGGTGAAACGTCTTCAAACAACTTAAAGAAGTCCAGACGGTTTTCTTTCTAAGCTCCTTAGATTACGATGACCTGGATGACTTAGAACCTTCACAGACAGATTGTCCATATGAGCAACTGCGATTTCAGTTGAGCTTAAAAGTGTTATTTTTAGTCACAAGCACAGCGTTCTTTCTTGTTTGGCATTTTCTTTGTCTATTGTGATGTAAAACTCACTTCATAGTGAACAATGATGTTGGTGTTTCAGCAGTTTGCAGTTTATGGCAGGCTTGAGCCTCAGTGATTATTGGGTTTGAGAACACCATAACCAAGTTCCCCTCATCTATCGGAGACAATTTGGGTTTTCTTTACCTACTACTTACTTTTGCTGTCATTTACAAATGGGTCCAAGAAACCTTCAGAGTGTGTAATTTTAAAATTCTCCCTCTTAGATCTTCTGTGAGGTTTTTTTTTTTTACTTTTCCAGGTTCTTCTTAGAAATTGAGAACTGTGCCATATTAACATTTGATTCCTGGTCACAGACAAAAGGACAGATGAGACAGAAAAGTGCAAATTGCAAAAAAAAAAATAGAAAATAACACAAGGAAAAGGAGGAAAGGCTTGAAATATAACACACAATGTGACATAAGATTACATTAACATTGAAAGCAAAACAAGAAGTAACAGTATAGAAGAGATTTCCTTGGATCACAGTTATTGTTTATTTAAATTAACTGGATAGAACATGACATGCTGATAGAATATCCTAACAATGTTAGACTATTATCGGATTGAAACGTCTAAACTTCCTGAATATCAAAGATAAGACATTGAGATCTACAAAATACAAACATCTTAACATTTTTTCCAGCTTCATCATCGTGTCTCTCAGGTCTCGCACTAACATGACTTTGTAGGTCATCCTGGCCAAACAAAGTTATGATGCGCTTAAGATGAGCATGAAAGTTAGCGTTTTTATACCATTTTTATATTCATTGACAATGTGTCTTTATATCATTTCAGAAAATGAAGAGAATAGTCCTAAAAGCTGCAGATATGTTGACATTATTAACCACCTGAACTTGACCCAAGACAAGGATATGTACATTATGACAAGGCCGGTGAAAAATTACAGTGATGTTACACGCGTATACCATATTATGGGAGTTAAAGCCATCTTAGATGTGGTAAGTTGTTCTGGCTAATGTTGCTGCCTTTCAAATAATGAATAGGTCATTTTAGTGTCAAGGCAGAAGAGTGAATACTTTTGGCAATATTTTGCATGCATAATGTAACCCATATCAACTACTCCCTGTCACATGACCCACGTCAGCTGATTTGAGGTCCCTCTTCTGATTGGCTCCTTTCACGTCGCGGCAACTCTGAAAACCGGCTGTGGAGGGATACTTCCGGGTTCGACTCCTGCTGTGGCTGTGAGCTTATGGCATTTAGAGCGGTATTGGAAAACAAAGCGTTTTCTCTCCTCAATTCATCTTTAAACTTTAAACTCAGCGGTAAGTGTCCTTAATATCTTACAACCTTTGGTTGTCAGTAACCAGCCGATCGTTTTCGCGATTAAAAAATGACTTTGTGCGGCAGCGTTCCCACCGCGAGCAGAACTCCGGTTCAAAAACCGCTGTTTTTGAACACTTCTGTTTACTTAAGCATTTTTATGGGCTTACTTTGAAACAAAGTGCGATTGAATGATTATTGTTATGTGTTGCCTTGAATTCGGCTATGCTGTCTGTTAGACAGTTGTTTTTCTTTATTGTTGTTTTTGTATTGTTTGTAGCGAACGCTACTGGAATGTATAGATTAAGCTACGTAGCCAAGATGATTAATGATTTAACTGTTGTACATTGATGATGATGATTTATGATTTGCATTGTTACCTAGACTTGCAGAAGAATATATTTGTTTACCGGTAAACTGAATTGAACTTGATGTGCTAATGGACATTTTTCTGACCTACAGGTCAGGTTTTTTTTCCCCTTTGAATTGATCTTCTTCATATTGAAGTGGCGAGCCGGTAGGACCATTCTTTGTTTTCCCCTCTTTTCCCCCACTTAGCCGTCTTTGGATTACGGACATATTTCCCCCTTGTATGAAGCTGGACCCTAAGGAGGAATACCTTAAAAGTGAACTTTAAAAAGAAAAGGACCAAAAAAAGGACTCTTAGCAAAAGGACTCTTGCACAGAAAAATCACAGCATTGATTTATTATTTAATTGTGGACATTTACGTTGTGTGTTGTGTTAATTATTTTGTTCCATTTCCCCTTTCCCCTATTTATTCAATATATTTTTGGTACAAGACATGACAGTCTTTGGTCTCATCATTCACACCATCTAGGCTCCATAAAGAACTATTTCTTCTGCGCGTCAGTCAGTAAATTCATCCATTGACATAAACTAGTCCTTTAAATAACTTAGCGTTACACGTGGCGAGCCAGCCAGGAGCCTGATGGGTGAATGAGTGGTTTTTTTGTGTTATTTGATGTAATTTGATATTCGGTATTTTCTGTGGTTTTGATAAGGTCCGCGACAAGAAAAAATGAAGTTTATTCAGGAAAGTGGGGTCAATGTTGCACATTCTGTCATTGTTTCTGGTGCCACGAACACTGAGAAAGATGAGGAAATTCTTGATTATTTGAAACAATACGGTCGTATAAAAACGGTTATTTTCGTGGATGACGCAAATAGTGTTTTTTACAAAAACCTGATCGTTGAATATTGTGATAGTTCTGCGATAACTGCTCTTAATACGTTTTTCCCATATACTCATCAGTCAAAGAATCACTCGGCTTTGACTTTTTGCGTAAGATCGCTTGCCGCAGAATGCACAGCCACAGGAGGAGTCAGGACCCCTGCAGATTACCTCGGCGAGCTCAAGCAACTTGCACGCCGCAGCGGCAGGGAATTCCCAGATATTCTGCGGGAAATGATGGGACAAATTAGTGAGCATCTGGAAGGAATCGAACAAGACAGTGACTTAGAGGGAGCCTCAGTCCAAATTGTGGAGCCTGCATCATCTCTGCCTGGCCAGCAGGGGTCGTTGTCTGGACACTCCACAATCCCTGAGACAGCTACCAGCAATCCCTCACCTGACCAACAGGGGTCACTGCCACATCCACAAAGATTTTCACTGTCACAGACTGAAATGAACCCCCCAGAAATACAAAAGGTAGTGGTGGAGCATGTTGTAAAAACAGACACCGTATCTGCATTCAGACTTCGTCCTTTCTCTGGGAAGATCCCCAAACCAGCTAACGAAACAGATTATGAGACCTGGAGATCTCACATTGAACTGCTGTTAGCAGATCCAAATTTGGCACCTCTACAGATCACTCGTCGCATCCTTGAAAGTTTGCTACCTCCGGCAGCAGATGTTGTGAAAGGGCTGGGCTCAAACACAATTCCATCCATCTATTTAAAAGTGTTGGATTCTGCTTTTGCTTTAGTACAAGATGGTGAAGAGTTGTTTGCTCAATTCCTGAATACGTTACAGGATCCGGGTGAGAAACCCTCTGCTTTTTTGCAACGTTTACAACTCACATTAAACACTGTGATGAAAAGAGGTGGTATCTTGTCTCTTT